GCCGGTCATTTCTATCTTCGGATTCGTGAGACTGGTCTTAGCAGTTGCAGTCTACGTAGCGTATAGGTACATGAGAGCAAGGCGCGCGGCATCAAGGACCGAGGAACCCAGAACGGCGTGCCTGAAGATGAGTGAAGGGGCCGTGCAAAGGGGCAAGCGGTTGCGAGCCATGCTAGCTGAATACCCCATGGTTCGATAGGAACTTTTGGCTATCCGTGAGGAGAATGCCGAGTACATGGTTCCAGGGGCGGCGATTCGACCCTAGTCAACTTGGGCTCGAAAAATGTCTATCACTACTTAATAGCCCATATTACCTAGCATAGCACAAATATTTATTTCTCCCCACATCGACGAGGTCATTTCAGCACACGATCTCAAGATGGAAATCTCTTCGAGGGCTTTGACTGCGCTTTGTCCTCTCTTATCAATTGGTTTTCACGAATTGGTTTTGAGGCGCGCGGAGGTCGATCACCTTGTTCTCCCAGGAGTTGTTTTTTTCGAGTCTCTTCTTCTTACTACTCACTTTCTCTCAGGGTATCGGCCCAACTGTTGTTTTATATATAGCCTTTTGGGGCACTCTCTCTTTATGGATCTTGTTATACCGCGCATTCTGGCATCCGCTCAGACATTTCCCGGGACCATTCGGTGCAAAATTGTCCAAATTGTGGACTGTTAAACAGGCTTGGGATTCAAGATGGCACTGGCATCGCGTACAACAGCATCTTCAAAAGCAATATGGTGATTATGTGAGAACAGGTATGCGATATGTTTCTGATAGTGTTGACAATACGGTTGTCTTTGATTATTCATTCCGACGATTTGTCTGTTAGACTAGCGGCTGATCAGCGATGGTAATAGGCCCTCGAGAAATCTCAATTTACGACCCAAGCGCCATACAACCACTTCTCGGTTTTTCTTCCTTAACAACCAAGGGACCTTTCTACGATGTTATGAAAAAGTCTCTTCATCTGAACCGAGACAAAGTTTTCCACCGCCAGCGGCGCAGGGTTTGGGATAATGGCATGAAAGAGTGTAAGTTCTGTACTCAGCATAGACGATGCTCTTCGCTGACAATTTCAGCGCTTGCTACCTTTTCTCCACTCGTTGAGGAATTTACAGAAAAGCTGCTTGCTCAACTACATAAACAGAATGGTGAACCGATTGAATTGCTACGCTATTGCAGCTACTATAGTTATGACGTTATGTCAAAACTTGCGTTTGGCGACTCAATGGGATTTGTGGAAGGCAAACAAAGTGAAGTAGCGGCAAGCATTCTCAACACTTTCAATAGCAGCCTGTCTGCTATGGGCCTCATGTACCATATGCCATGGTATGTATCTCACTATGAACTCCAACAACTGTCAAAATCATGTATTGCATCCTGGACTGAACTTTTCATTTAAGCTCATGAACACACTGGGTGTGGTCACTTCGATTGCCGGGCCGATGAAAGAATGGCAAGACTGGAGCGTGTCACAGATGAAACAGCGCATAGCCGTAATCATCCCACCAAGTCCTCTACATCTATGCCAATACTAAGAAATAACAGCGGAAAGACGGGAAGGCCGATTTTGTAGGACATCTTATCAAGAACACCCCTGAAAATACAGCTGGACTAGAACTACTATACGGCGAATCTCGACTCATCATCAGTGCCGGCAGCGAAACTACCTCTTCGGCGTTGACGTTTACATTGATGCAACTAGCTACGAACCCCAAATACGTGGATGCGATACGGAAGGAGTTTCGTGACTGCGTATCTTTCAACTGCAATCGGCCACTTCCAATGCTAGACGCAGTAATACAAGAGTCAATGCGTTTATGGCTATCGATCTTCTTTGCACCTCAGCGTGTCACCCCACCATCTGGATTACACATCAATTCTCATTTTATTCCTGGAAACACAATTGTCCAAATGCCGCCTTTCGCCACCTTCCGCGATTCAAGAAACTTTGTAAAACCGGATGAATTTGTGCCTGAACGATGGACATCGCAACCCGAATTGGTGCTCAATAAGAATGCGTTTATTCCATTTAGCACAGGACCATACAACTGCGTTGGTAAAACACTGGCTAATATGGAACTACGGAGTGTCATCGCAAGAGTGGTGAATGAGTTTGATCTTCGTCTTCCCGACGGATTCGTAGCAGAACAGTATTGGGACGGTATCAAAGATCAGTTTACAGCAGGGCCTCCTGCAGAACAGAGACTTTCTTTTGTTGAATGCGAGAGCTGATCTGAGTCAGCGTTAGCTAATGTCGTCGCAATTGTACTTCCTCTCTTAAACACTAGAAGCTATCAAATGGGAGACCAGCACTATTAGCTATTACCGAATATACATCATTAGCCCAGAATACCTGATATGTGATACACTGTGATATCAAACAACCAATGTTGACCACAAGAGCTAGTCTTCACAGGTAAGAGGCAGATTTCCAGAGATAAGGTTGTGACAAAGGCACATTAGATCTTACTACTACGCGTAGCCACACTTTCCATTTTCGGTTCCTTGGTTTCTAAAAACAGATTCATTAAGATGAAACCACTGACAGTGTACTTACTTACTCAGCACCTCAACAACTCCCCGGCAGCTGATAGCCCGACCAATACGCCTCCGTAACCACCTCCGCCCCATTTCTCGATAACACCTAACCTTCCACAACGCCATCCCAGTCAACCCGCTATTTTCCCTTTTGAACCATCTCAACACTTTTCTCCAGCGCATACTTTACTGTAAATCATGCAATTCAATGAAGTGATTGAATCCCAACTGATAGAGCTCTGTACTCTTTGATTCTATATCACTCGCACCGCCATCTTCCGCCCTGCGTACGTCCTCGCTAACCAGTCCTCCATCGCTTGTTCAAGCGAACGCGTTTAAGCTCAGGGTGAATGGAAGGACGCGTTTTCTGCCATAATAGAATTTTGTCACGTGGATTGGTTTCTATAAGATAGAGACTAGCCAGGTAAGATAAAACGTCATAGAACTTCCGTGCAGATGATGAGACGCGTATATCCTCACTCCATGGCGTGCGGCGGGCCGCTCAATAGGTGGGTGCTGTATTTGAGAAGAGAAGCAGTGGGCAGATCTTTCCAGCTTCCATTTGTCCTGATGCTGGAGCAAAATGTTGGTGTTAGGTTATGCTTAGTCCTGACGCGATACACGCAGTAGGGAAAGGTGGGCTTTGAGTATTGGTTGAGGAACCTGTACGCGAAGCTATTCAAGGGTAGGCTCTTAGCATTAACGCCGATCATAATGTTGAGTAGACCCTGTCTAGTGTTCTGCGGCTGATATAGAGTTTTGGTGTGGACAGTGTCTAACAGATGCCTAAAAGCCTCGAGAGTGTATGGAAATATGATCAACGGTTCTGTGCACTATTGTTCTTCATCGCAACTATCCTCTTTAACAGCCAGAACTTTACTTTGGTCTATCATACGAACAAAGCCATCAAGAATCATCTTAAGAGCGAGCCATATCTGCCGACTATTCATAGTAATATCAGTATCATGAATAAATGTGTGGTGCATATCCGTACTCTCCTCTTGATCCAAGATCAGCCCAAGTGGATGAATAGCACCCAGAGCCCCGTTCGCCCTGTAAAGAGTGACAAAGCGTCGCTTATTCGAATCGTCTCCACCTTCAACATAACTCACATTCTGCCAAAGTCTTTCGGAGGAGCACAAACAGGCCAAGTGCCGATGGAAGACGTGACGCTTGGTGACCGGCTCCATTGCAAATCCATGCCAAGAAGTGTATCACCACCATAGCATTCCCACCATGTCGGTTTATCGCGGGTGTCCCATGTGAAAGGATGGTGAAGCAAATACATACCTAATGTGTTCTACCCAGTAGGTCAATAGTAAGGCGATCTTTGGTTTACCGACGTATTAGCGAAGGTTAGCTGAAGAATGCCATTCACCTTGCTAGCGCATGTCACACAAAAGGCACCTGTAAGGCTAGCCTTATATACAGCAGCAGACGTCTTCTCCGTTTAGCAGGGTACATATTGGGACTTCTCTATCGTATTCAACGTTTGGCATAAACATACCATTCTGCCGACTCTATCAATTCAATCTTGGCTTGCTCCACATGTCTGTGTAATACTTTTGCAACTTTTTTTTTTACTTTTCGTTGATCAACGTGGGTATATCAAAAATCTACATATCGGTACACGACACAAAAATACTGAAACAGGGGCCATTATCATCTTCCCACAGCCTGAATCATCTCAGGTGCTTTCTTGGCACTGGCTGCCTTTTTCGCCTCCATAATCTCCAGTCTACTAAGTCCCATACTACTCAGATACTCGTTGAAACTACCGAGGATCCGCTCCAATCCTTCCCGAAGACATTCCCTGACCTCATCAACCTCAGGTACCTTTCTCCTCTCTGATTCTGGTTTGGCAAGTGTTTCGATATCGCTTGGGTGTATCGGAACTGTCTCCATGTATTCGTCGATCTTGTTAAGTGCTGTGGTAAGCACGCGTACCACGGCCGGAATACCTTCGTGGAAACGGCCGAGAGAATCTTCGCTGAGAGAGGACACGGCCAGATTCGCAAGGGAAGTAACGGCGTTGCAAATCAACGAAATACGAGAGTATGGCGCCCCAAGAACGACAATGCTTGCTGTACGTTGAACGGATTGTCTGAAAAGGGCACCAACCGAGGACGACACAAACTTGTTATAGTACGTTGTGAAGAGCGACTCTGCCTCTTTGGCACCTTCTTGCGCCTTGCTCAGCCCCTTGTTGATAGCTTCGCGGCTGTACGCTTTTTGGGCGTTACCAGGAGCGCTGTGAGATTTTGCGAGATCCGCTGTTGCTGATTCGAAATGCTCCAATCTAGAATTTGGCTTTGGTGGCGGTGCTGCAATCGCTTTATCGTCCTTGAGCGGCTGCGAGATCCGTGGTACCAGGTTGACAGGTGCCGCCGACTGCTCCTTGCCGTCTCCAACGACCGGGTTATAAGCAGGATCAAGACCAACGTTTAAGCGTTCGGTGAGGAACTTCAATTCTCCAAGACACAAGTCTGTAACTTGCTCGTGGGTGGGCGCCTTTTTGCGATCCATCTCACTGTATAACGTCTTACGGCGGTCGGGGAAAGCGTCTGTAATGAGAGCAAGCTCCCAGAAAGCGATGGCCTAGATTCAGTCAGTCATGATCATGAACATGCGTCGCCTCTCCATACCTTGACAGTGTCCTTCTTTGACTTGAGCCCGTTCAGTAGTGAGCCATTCGGGTCTTTTGAATCGTTCGTAATGGGATTGTCATTCTTCAGCGGCTCCTGGGCAATGTATACGTCAAAAGTCTTGTTGACAAACTCCCACAGTAGGACCAGAAGCGTTCCCTCGGTAATGAACATGAGACACAGGGGCAAGAAAGGAGCCAGGCCGGTGGGAGTGGAGGTCTTGGAAAGGCTCCAAAGATAGCGACCGAGGCTGTAGTAATAACTCCAGACCAGGTTGCGCGTGATTGAGAAGTAGAAAAGAAATCCAACAAAAGCGATGATCGCAGCCAGCGAGGTTGACTTGGTTGCCATGCCTTTGAATTCCTTGATGAGGACATGTCTAGGCTTGGGTGCTCGTCGTGCTGGTGAAGCGTCGCCACGATCCTTCTTGGGCTTCATTGCCGGCACATCAATCCTGTCGTAGTCCCTCCACAGGTGAACACCGGACTGCGCAGCTGCGAGGAGGTAGAAAGAGTAGCGCAGATAGAGCGGTCTCTCGTTCAGCCTGAACCGCTCGTGCATGCGCCCAGCCTCGATGAACGCGAGCCTGTCCTTGGGGCCCCTTGACCAGATATATGTTTCGACAAACATCATAGCGGAAAAGGCATAGGCGATCAGAGTAACGATAGTGGACAGGCGGAAGAAGTACTTTGTGAAGGTCTGGGCCTGGGTATGCGTCTGGCGGGGGCCGACGTGCCATTGGGAAACGCGAAGAACGTAGACGGAAAGCGCGGAGAGGAATAGCAGGAGCGTTCGGATGCCTGTGAGTCCTAACGGGAAAAATGACCACAGAGCTGTATGCGAATTAGTATCTGGGCTTATACTTCGTTGTGTTTATCATACGGTTAGCCCATTCGCCCATCCAACACGCGATCGCGTAGCAGAGCAACAAGGTGTATTTGCTCGCCCTGTTGAATCTGCGGTGGAGAGCTGGTGTCAGGTAGTCTCTGTACGGGCGCACTTGAGTGCCCAGCTGTGCGAGCGCCATGGCTGCGGTGAGTTGCGGCTGGAGAGAATGTATGAGTGAGGAAACAGCTATAGCATAGCAAGAAATAAAGAAACGGCGTCGTGCCAGTGGAAAACGTGGAGGGGGGCAGCAAAAGTGGTTGCGCGCAGGGCGTTGCAGCGATACAAAGACGCCCAAGTTTCCGTCAAACAAACATGGGTCGGCGGAGCTACAAGTTGCTGCATGTTTGCTTACATAACAGCGGACCCGCCCGTGCCATGTGCGCCCTTGGCCGCGGCTCGTCGTCATCGTCGCAGGAACCGTCCGAGCGAGCAGAGCAGACCAATCCAACCCCCCAGGCACCGACAATTGCATCCCCATATCACTCGACCGCAGTAACTTTGACAGTCGCTGGGCTCTAGACACCTCTTACATCACTGTTTAACCGAGCCATCGTGTGCTCCCTTTGTTCAACACCATCATGTCATTCCAGCGCTCCAGTGCCCTCGAATCACAGCCTACAACATGGCGCCGGGAAGACGACGCAGCCTACGCTGATGACCCCGAGTTCCGCGACTTTGCCGACAAGCTCTCCGACGATCTTTTTGCCCTCACCCGCAATGTCGCCCGCCTGTCGCAAGAGACGGCCAAGCTAGGAACCAAGCACGAGACCGCCCGTGTGCGCGAGCGCGTCAAGACAACCGTCGAGGAGACATCAGACAAGTTCAAAGAGCTCGGCGAGAGCCTCAAGAAGATCACCACATGGCCAGATGTCGGGGTACGTAGATACCGGGGCCTCCCCCCTCATGCAAAAACACAAGCACCGTTTTAGCTAACCGATAAATAAACAGCCCTCGCAGAAATTCACCCAGTCAAAGCTGCAGCGCGAATTCAAAGCCTCCCTCACCGAATTCCAACAACTGCAGAAGCAGGCGCTGGAAAAGGAAAAGCAGTCCGCACAAGCCGCTCGCACCGCCCTGCAAGACGCAACCTCGCCAAGCGAAGAGCGGGGAGACTACGGCCAGCATCAGCTGCAGGAGCAGGAGCAGCTACGCCTCGCGAACCAGGACGAGGTCGACTTCCAGGAATCCCTCATCATCGAGCGCGAGTCCGAGATCCGCAATATCGAGCAGTCGGTCGGCGAGCTCAACGAGCTGTTTCGTGATGTCGCTCACATGGTGCATGAGCAAGGGGCCCAGCTCGATATCATCGAGGAGAATGTTGAGACGACGCACGATGCGTCGCGAGGCGCGCATATAAACCTTAAGCAGGCTAGCAACTACCAGAAGAGTGCTAGGAGCAAGGCGTGCATTTTGTTGCTTATCCTGGCCATTGTCTTGGTCATCATTATCCTTGCTGTCGTCTTGGACTAGATGACAACAACGAGCATCTATGTAAATGGTCTTTCTTTTTTCTTTGACTCTTGTTTTCAAGGCGTTGAATGGTATACTCGGGGAGGGGATTCTGATACCATGGCGTAACGCATTGTTTGCAGATATCCTTGCCTGGAGAAGGTTGCGTATTTATGAGTCGTACAGTTTAACCCACCTAATTCATGCGATGCTCTTACCGATTTCACGTCTTCTTTTTATCTATAGTCTCACAACAGGAACAAGCTCAGTATTAGCTGGGGTGGATGACATGGTGCTCAAGATCATACTATGCTCTGTATTCTCAGGCCTCTTTACCAGGCGTCAAAACTCTAACCGCTTTTGACAGGCTCGCCCTTCTCGTCAATCAGACTCTCCTCAGTCTTGACTGGTCCCTCACCAACACCGGTCAAGATAACCCGGCTGACACCTTCCTCTAGCAATGCAATAGCAGGTCCTGCCTCGGACTTGACCTTCTCAAGAGCTTCTGCGTTGGCTTGGACAGCCTGTCCCCTCTGGCCCTGCCATCCATCCTTCTCGTTGAGAATAGTCTTGAAGAGACCCGCTACCTCCTTCTCGTTCTCCTCAAGGTAGTACACAACAGCGTTTGGACCCGCGTCAAAAGTGTATGCCGCAATGATCTTGCCTGCCGCTGCGTTGATGCTCTCAACAATCTTGATAGCAGCGCGGGAAACGTCATTGAGGTAGAAGATGGGTGGGAATGTGTCGAGGCAGGTAGCGTGGAAAGAGTTGCTGTCCATCATGGTGACCTTGCCGAATGCCTCGAAGTCCTTGTTCTGGATAGCGTCCTGCATTTCCTTCATGCGCCTGGGTACTGTCTCGCTGGCTCTCGACTGGAAGAGACTCGAAGTTGCGACTGTGGTTTGCATACCAGTGGTGCTCGATACACCCTTCTTTGCTGCACTGACGACCAGAACGACGGCACGCATGTTTGGCCAGTGGCTTGCAGGTGCGACCTGGAAAGCTACGCTGTCACTGCCATCTACGGCAGAACCTTGCTCCCAGCCTACATATCCGCCGAAGAGCGATCGGCACGCCGAACCCGAGCCTTGACGAGCGATGCGGGAGAGTTCTGTGGGCGAAGCTGGAAGCTCATATAGGTTTGCAATTGCGCGGACAAGTGCTGCAAAACCAGCAGCTGAACTGGCCAGTCCAGCAGCGGTGGGGAAGTTGTTCTCGGAAACGATACGGAGGGGGAGATCGGCCAATTTGGGCAGGCTAGAGTCCTTCGCTTCGAGTTCTTTCCTCAACGCCCTCAGTTCCCTGAAGCATGCTTGGGTTCTGGCACCAGAAACATCTTGAGACTGGCCATTGAGAAGAAGGGTGTCTTCTTTCGGGTAGCTAGAGGAGCAAGAGGCCGTGGTGTGGGTGCGGAGGTCGGACTGCGCAAGGGTCACGCTAAGGGAAGAGTTGGTGGGGAGATTTAGCTTTGGGTCACGCTTTCCCCAGTACTTGATTACTGCGATGTTGACGGGGGCAGTCGTGCTGGCACGGTGGATGTCAGACATTTTGAGAATATGTATTCAAATCAGTGCCAATAGACGGGGGAATTGGGGGGAGTCGAGGCTGAGAAAGTCGGAGGACGTGGTAACGTTGTTATTTATATGCAGGGTCTAAGTAGGGTAGGGCCTAGCAAGCGGGGACCGAAGAGGCGCCAAGGGGGAGTCGGAAGAATGCCGCTTTGGGGCTGCACGATAACTGAGCTGTCCATACATAAAGGGTAATGAGAGCATGTTTTACCAACCAATGCTGATCCTGGCGGACGTGGCAGAAAAGTCCATCCAACCTTGGCGTTTAATACTGAATAATAGACGCAAGAGTCTGACATGTAACCTATAGGAGGTAACCCATCTTTTTAGAATATATCAAGATATTTTGACCAATCGTATCCAAATATGCTGAGCCTACCTTTCGTTGGAGAGGCATGCCCTTATTGTCTGAAATCCTTGCGGCGTACAACGCTAAATACAATCGCGCTCATCTTCGCTGACCGAAAAGTTGTACATGGCTGCGCAGGAACCAACGACAGGGCCAGCCAATCACAGCGAATCGACTTCCGCAGAGTCCGTGCGTAACATTTCTCCAACCATTGCCGTCACCATGCCTAACATGCTGGATTTCCATTCCACATAGCCCACCACCACCACAATGTCCTCCAAAGACGATCCCGCAGCAGCCTGTCCCGTCGATCACAAGACTCGCGAGGCATGGCTTGCTCAGGCCCGCGCCCAAAACGCCAATGTGCCACCAAATCCCCACCACACACCCATCCCCACGCCCGCCGCCCCGCCAGCAACACCCCTACGACCACAATCACAATCGGCCGTCCAGCAATCCTGTGATTCCTCGTCACTCGATCAATCCACATCATCCCCGCCTCCAACAAGCACCGGCATCCTCTCCCAAATCCGACTCGGCACCGACCGCGAAGTCAGCACCATCCCACGCGCCCTCCCAAACACTCCCTCGCAAACCCCCGCCAACAACGAGCGCGACACAGGCGCCGACAAGACGACAGGAAATTGGATTTACCCTTCTGAGCAAATGTTCTTCGATGCCATGCGCCGCAAAGCCTACGATCCCTCCGCTCCTGACATGCGCACCATAGTCCCCATCCACAACGCCGTCAACGAGCGCGCCTGGCACGAAATAAAGCGCTGGGAAGCAGGCCGCGGCTCCGAAGCCTGCGGCGGCCCCAAACTCGCTTCTTTCTCCGGTCTCAGCACTAGTCTGACGCCCAGGGCTCGCTGGAAGAGTCTGATGGGGTACCAGCCCCCGTTTGATCGCCATGACTGGATTGTTGATCGCTGCGGCACGAAGATTGAGTATGTGATTGATTTTTATGCGGGGAGGGATGAGGGGAAGATGGGGAAGGCGTTGAATTTTTATCTAGATGTTAGGCCCAAGTTGAATACTTGGGAGGGGGTTAAGACGAGAGTTATGAGGTTTTGGGGTTTCTAAGGACATGTATCCAAGGGTATATATATTGAATGTGGTAGGTTTGGGGTTGGTTGGTTATTGTTGTTTACGAAGGGAATTCGATATGTGGTAACGAAATAACTGTACTATAGCCACTTGTACAATATCAATGAGACGATACTTATTTCTATTTTCTTTTCTTCTTACAATCTTGGGTAGTAAAAAAAAAAGAGAATATGGAGAATTGAAAACATCCTGGTCGCAAGTCTGAGCAGCAGACTTCCATTTTGGTGACGAGAAGAAGAACATGAATCGCTGCGTCAGGAAAGAAACCACCCGCACCGCTTTATCAGCAAAACGCCCCCTGCCCTCAACCCCCATGCGCCATGCGTGTGCATCTGAAGAAGTATTTTCTTGCCCCAAACCCTCCCCATTCGAACCAAGATATTAAAGAAAAAGTCGCTCATATCAAAATCTTCAATCCAACAGCTTCAGAAAAGAATAGCATAGCCCATAGTATGCCTGGGAAAAAACGGATACAATCATAAGGTACTTTCACGCCCCGTAAACATCTATCCCCAGCTTCTTCAGCTTATTACAATTCTTCAACTCCATATTCCTCGCCTTATTCATAGCCTCCGTATCGACCGAGAACCAGCCTTGGGCTTCCTCCATAAGTTGCCTCTGCTTGTATTTCTCCGACTGACACCTTGTGTTTGTGATATGGACGTACTGCTGCTCGGCCACCTCATCGAGCTTGCGCCATTTTTTAGGAGTGTATTCGTGGACGTCCTTGGGGTTGACGTAGTAGTCGATTTTTATGCGAGAGGAGACGCGCTTGAGTGTGTTGGGTGTGCGGGGGGTTTCGAAGACGAGGTTGGGGCCTGCGGATGTGGAGGAAGAAGAGGAGAAGAAGGAGGAGAGGAGGGGAAGGACGAAGAGGAAGAGTAGGGGCAGGAGGTTCGCAAAAGCGGAGGAGAGGTTTTGTTGGCCTTCGGAGCCGGGAGGCGCGGCGGTGCCGGGGCGTCTGCGTGGATGGCCGCCGCCAAATTGGTGGACGCGGATTCCTGGGCCGCCGCCGAGGTTGAAGACGAAGCCTGGACCGGTGTCCATGCCGCCTGCGTTACATGTTAGTTTACGGCGTCTCTTTGGAGTGTGATACCACTGCCAAGCACAGCATCTCCGAGAGTACTGAACATACCGAAAGGCCCTCCGAAAGCGCCGCCGAAGAATTGTCTAAACAATTCCTCTGGTGTCATCTCCTCCTCAAAGCCGGCCGGCCCTCTCCTTGCAAATCCATTTCCAAACGGACTCGGGCCTCCGCCACCGCTCGCCCCCGCCGCAGCCCGCGGATCGAACCTTGCGTCGGGATCCAATCCAAACTGGTCGTACTTCTTCTTCTTATCCGGATCACTCAGCACCTGAAATGCTTTGCTGACCAACTTGAAGGCCTCGTCTGCACCGTCGTATCCATTCTTGTCCGGATGCGTAAGTAATGAGAGCTTGCGGTATGCCTTCTTAATGTCCGAGTCTGAACAGGTGGCTTTTACTTCCTCAAGCCCAAGGATCTTGTAGTAAGCGGTTGGCGCGCATTGCTTGATACGTATTACAGCGGCTTTTTGTTCTACGGTGAAGGCTCGACCGGCACTGCCGTCATGGTGTTCCCGCGATTTGGCGTCGGAGCCAGAGGTTTTGCCTGACATGTTGGCCGGAGGGCTGTTGTTGTGTGGGGTATGCGAGTGCTTTTGTGGACGGGGGAGATTAAGCCGCCGTGTGGGCAGCGGTGTTAGTGGAAAGCCTATGCGCCAGGAATAGACGTCTGGCTGATGTGATACTAGAATTCAGCGTGTGTATCTGGGTGCGGGAAACGAGTGGTGCGGAAGCGGCGGTGCGGTGTTGTGGTTCGAGTCGTGGGTTAAAGCCGCTATCTGTTATTGAAGTTCGCGAGACCCGACGAGGCCAGTTGACCGAATCTAGGCTGGCACGGGCTGACGGCCCACTTCCTGACCTAACGTCATTGAACTTCACCAATTCCTCGACCCTGGTCTCTTTGCGCAACCATTTCTTCAAGAATCACACGCCTCTCTATACACACAGTCTTTCCATTGCTGCTCCCCAGTTAAGTTGGCAGCATCTACAATGTCTCAACCACCCAAGCAGTCTGTGCTTCAATCCCTCCGCAATTGGGGAGGTACGTTTGTCATGTCTCTTTCCTGTTTCCAACACTCACGTGCTTCACTCTACGCATCATCATTGGGATATATACGAATCAAAATGGCTGACTCTTTATAGAGAATTCTGTACCACCTACGCTATTGGCTACGCTCATCACAGCCCAACATGCTCGACCCTTCCAAGTTTTCCCTATGATGTTCCCACCAGTCTTGCTGTTCTCATCGTATCTAAATCTGAGCAACTACAAGACAGACTCGGCTGGTATCACCGCTGCATGGAGTGGGCTGTACGCTTTGCTTGCTATGCGGAGGAGTCAGGTATGTTCAATTGTGCCACGGGTGGAGGGCTCACTCGCCACCCAGGCAATTCAATGCTCCCAAAGCTAACAAAAAACCAGGGTATCAGAAACAAGTTTACTGTACGGGGCGTGGTGAGAGGAGCATCATTGGCTCTTTGCGCAGTCAATGTCGTAGGCTGTGGTTTGGCGTACACATTCGGCAAGCGTGAAAAGGAGGATAAAGAGTGAACCCAAACGAGTGGTAATGAGTGTAACATACTGTATCCATTAGACCGTCATGACCTAAAAACTACACATCAGTATCGAATAAGACATGTATTATTAAGCAATCTACCCTGCAAGACGCCTTCGCTATGCTGAACAATCGACGTCGTCTACAAGACACGAAACGACTACCATGCATCACCCCATCCTTCTTCTTCCTCCTCATTCGCCTTTGGCACCTCCTTCTTGACCTCTTTCTTTGGCGCTACAACAACCTTCCGCGTTGCCGATCCTGTTGTGCTTGACCTTCCTCCAATCACAGGTCTTGATGTCTTGGCGGCTGGTGTAGTAGATTTGGCGAGACCTTTGGGTAGGGTGTTCTTGATGGGTTTCTTGGCATTCGATTGTGCTGCTAACCATCCCGCAAAGTCAGGCTCGCCCTTGTCATCAAACGCTGTTGTAGATGTTGGCTTTGATACTGCTGGTGTGCCCCATGGATCATCTTCCTCCTTCGGTTTGTCGTCTTCGTCAACAAAGCCGCCCCAATCATTGTTGAAGTCTTCTGCCTCATCATCGAAATCGGTGGCTGGATCCGGTGACGCAATGGTGGGTATGGATGCGGTGCTCTTGGCGCTGTGAAGCGTCATTCCAGGTTTACTTGCTAGCGGCACTGGTGGTTGAGTTGTGACAGCCGGAACAGAAGAGGGCCTCTGATCAGAGGCTCCATTAGTCCCTGAGCCAGCTTGCATCTGTCCGCTTGTTGTTGCCAGCTTATTTGTGAAACTCGAGATGGCCCAGCCAGCCCACGAAGTGTCGTTGGCTGGGGTCCCCATACGCGGCGAAGATCCTCCAACAGTCGGAAGTCCTGGCGATGGCAATACAGTTTCAGGCATGGTGGCAGCAAACTTGCGGATACGTGCAATATACACATCAACGGATTTTTGAGCTTGGTCGCGGACAAGTTTCTCTTTATCCACGAGCGATGGACACATGATCGGGAGAAGTTGCTTCGCACAGTCTTCCTCGCTAAAAAGGTCCGCGGTCGCAGCCAATGCCAGGAGGGCTGCATTTCGTGCATGTAGGAATGGGTCGCGTAGTGCACGTGAGAAGGCGGCGGAGAGAACTTTAGCTCGACTCTGACCAGGCATTAGCATGCTATCACTCCAAGCACATCACATGAAGACCTACACTTGCGCCCAGGTTTCGCGCAATCTTGCCTAGACAAATCGTAGTGTTCGTCCGGATACCGGGTTGTTCGTCGTTTGCAGTCTTTGCCAAATAACGGAGAAGCTCGCCATTGATGATTCGGTCTGAAAGCTTAGGCACTACCGTAAGAACGGCCTTTACTGTCTGTTCTCTAACCACAGGGGCGACATCTGAGAAGCCAGTAACCTTTTGAAAGTCAGAACAAACGCAAAGGTGATCTTTACGCAACTCACCATTTGGGGAAAAATCTTGTCGCTGACGAGTTTTTGTGGGAGATGATCAATCATCAGCGGTAGGTTGTCCAGGAGGCACACACGAATGCCTCGGTCAGGGTTGGCAAACAACCGTACCACGACCGGCGTAATTTGGGCCTCATATTCTTCGTCTGACAGCTTCTGCCCTATCTGCATCACTGTACCAAATACTTTGGCACCTCCGCCCCCAAATTCCACTGACTTGAGCAGTTCGGGGAGTACCTTCATCTTGAAGAAATCAGCAGGGAAGTCGTCTGCGACGGCGTCCAGCTTCCTGGTATGAATTAGCATCCTCAGCCAAAGTGTTATCACAGGAACACCAACCCAAGCAACTCATTTCGCTCGTCCTCAGCTTTCAGACCGAGATTCTCAATATCATCCGTGACCTGGATCAGCGGTGTTTGGAAAAATCCTCCAAAACGCTTTCCCTGATCCAAGAATTGACTTATGCTCATACGTGCTTTGGGATTGGGATTAAGAAGGCGCTTGTAGGATTGGTGCATGCTTGGAGGGATGCTCTTCATTTGCCCCAGTTGGTCGCTGCTGTTGTAGTTGCCGGTGAAGACTTCGAAGATCAATATACCAAAGTTGTATGCATCCAGAGCATGCGTTGGGTTTTGCTTGACAACTTCCCACCCTCCTTTGGAAACTTCTGGCGCCATGTATCGTGCTGCATCAGGGATGAGACTGCCATAGGTGGGTATGATGGAATCATCCTCCTTCACAGAGCTCAGCGCATCAAAGCCACCCAGCTTCCACTCGCCACTTTCACTGAAGAAGATGGAGGCTGGACGGACGCAGCCGTGTATGGATGCAGCGTCGGCATTTACGAACTTGAGCGTTTTTGCGACGTTGTGCAGTCCCCATTTGGTAGTTTCCTCAGTCAGACTCCTTCTCTTTACATGCCAGCTGAGTGGGCTGAGTCGCTCTGTGGCGATGTATATATATGTGTCGGTCTCGACGGTATCGAGAACTTTGACTACCCCTGGGTGGCGCAGGGTTCGTAACTTTCGGAGCGCATTGCGGGCGAGAGGCAGGCGAGACTTGTTTGCCGTGATGTCAAAGGAAAAGATGCTGCACTTGGAGCCGTCGTCCTAGCCCCCAGTTGTCAACAGCCGTTCGCGTGTGTGTTTGTGTGCAGATGTCTGGGCCATACTCGCTTTGTGCCATTGTGCAGCGTCCAGATGGAGTCGTTCAAGTCGACACGATCGCCAAATGTGTAGCCAAACGCTGGGCCCTTTGAAATTGCAGAGGCAACGGCAGACTTGAGAAAGTCCATGGTTACTGCGTGCGGCTAGGCGTGGCCCCCCTTGCGCTGCAAATAAAACAAAGAGCGTAAGTGTTTGTCTCCGTGACACCACGGGCAAACACATGCGCCCAAAGGCCAGATGGATGCGCGCATACCCCACCCGCGCGCCATTGGATTGGGCGGGGGTTCTGCCCAGTCGTCACGTGATGACGCGCTGCAACCATTCATCTTTACGACAGCGATGTCCCTGGCTGCCTTTGCTTCTCTGCTCGCCTCGCGCTAGCCCACTGCCACATTCCGAGTCGCGTCTGCTTGGCCACATTCACGTCACTTCGCTTGCATTTCATTCTATTCTATCCTTCTTCCACCCATGTTGTGCCCAACTTTGCATTCGATCTAAGGCGCGCCTCATCAGACTCAGCCCTATTGCTGTAGCACAGGTAAGCTAAGCCCCACTACCAACCGACGCGTATATCACATGCGTGATGACCACTGGTAAAAGGTTAGATCGCCGAACCATTGTGACGGTTTGCCTTGTGGCTGCTTGCCTGCAGTGCAACCGAAGAAGGAGCCTCCAATGGGGCGAAGTGCTGCTTTACATAAAACTGAAAAGACCTGACGCATTCCCCACTCCCCCGTGTTGCACACCCTTCTTGCCTGGTGATAGAAAGCTAACCCGCATGCACTGTGCTAGGTTCATTCTTTCATAGTTTTCAACGCTTCAGATGAGATACGCCAACGACGAACGACGACTATCATATATTAGCACGGACAGCAACTTATCCCAACATGACCGACCCAGCGTGGGTGCTCGGGATCCTCTGTCAACCCCCAGTGCTATCCCAAGTCGAAGGCAAACTCCTCGGCTAAGTGAAATATCACCACCCCCGCTCAAGCGTAAGCGCACAGCCTGCGACGAGCCACAGGTGAGACGAGATTCCTCGAGCTTGACAAGCCTCAGTGCGCCCAAGGATAGGTATTGTGCATCAGATTGTTGTATCAAGGCTCGACTAAGTCGTCCTCATAGCTTGCATGGACTGTCTGCCTCCTCCACAGGTGCGCAAAGTAACCGTGAGCATCTTTCCAGACAGTCACAAAGTTTGCACTCTTTACAAGCAGCTCCTCGCTATTGTGCGCCTAGAGAACAAAGCCGCAATGTCTCCTTGATGCAAAAAGCCCGCGGTCTGTCAAAAGCGCCGTCAAAGCCCGAGTCCTCCTTCAAACCCACTTGCCGAGTATGCGACAAGACTACAGCCACAAGCTACAACCCGATTATCGCTTGTCCAGGATGTACCAGAACATATCATGACAGTTGTCGAAGACCTTCACTGACCCAAGGCGTTGACCCGTAAGTTATCTGAGGTTTGTGCGTTGAACAAAGACTGACAACATCAGGCAACACTGGAGGTGTTCAACATGCTTAAGTGACACTAAAAACCCTGCTAAGCCCTTAGTGACTTCGAAGTCGGTCTCAGTTAGATACTCTGTAGTAAGAGAGATCTTTAAGCCGTGGAGCGCACGATTTACAACTGCAAACTCGTCTAGATTACCCGAAGAGACCACCGCTAGTAACCATGTCGATGCTCAGAATTTCCGTGCTAGTTCTCTAAGCGCAAGGAGTTTAGAAAGCTTATATAGACCCAAGGATGTCTTTGAGCCATCTCCCCAACCTGAGTCCTGTGTCCTTTCAAACAATCTAAGAACACCTATGCACCGTTTGGGTCAGCCTGACAATCTTAATTCACCATCTCAGGGGCAAAGCGTTGAGGCTCAAGTCAACCTCACAGCTATCAATTCTTCAAGACAACTAGAGATACCTGAGACCCCTGATATCGCTACTCGCCACAGCATACCACTCACAACGAGTAGCACGGATTTGGCCAAGTTCGATTTTTCAACGGCTGTAACTACTCGAGCAGATGAGATCAAAACCTCCTCTTGGTTTTATTCACATCGGCCGACGCTCGAGTCGAAGATAGAGAAAATCAATGATCATGCAACGCCTTATACGCTTCCTGCATCATCCGACAACCTAGAGCCGAGTAACTCCACGGAGTCAATCTCTGCTTCTAACGATGTAGAAAGAGGAACCGTACTTCAAGCCATCGCAACACACGGAACAAACATCATCTACAATACCTCCTTCCAGTCACCGCGCAACGGGCAGCAGTGCGAAAATGATTATCGAGAGTTACCTGGCGCATCAGAGACAACGCAAATGGGTGATCCACCAGCAATTGTACCACCTGTTTCCCACTTGGTACATGAGGCTCAGACCCACGTTTCTCGACAACCCCCTTCTACTGGTGACGCAGTCTCGTGTGAATTGCTTTCTGTGCAGCGGGAGTCGGGAAACGTGAATCTAGAGGGCTCTCCTAATGGTATAAGCCCATCCATGTCTCCCCAAATTTCCTTCTGTTCGGATCTGGATGACACATATTCACCCGTGTGTCAGAAGCGCCATACAAATCAAGAGCTAGCTAGGATAGCCCTGGCTTGTGCAGATGGAGCAAGTATGACGGCCTCGCAGATTGTTGATTGGCTAGTCCAAAAGTTCCATTACCTTCAAAAGGGGCAGGCTACGTGGGAAAAAAGTCTCAAGGCGGTTCTTTCACGCAAAGAGTTTCGTAGCGACAAGGCGAGTGGGTTGCATGGGGCCCGTCTGGCGTATAGTTTTGCCAACGCAGCTTGTAAAGCTCGATACGAAGAGGAATATCGAGACTATATCATTCAATACTCGCAAGAACATGATCAAAAACATGCTGCCGGGCCTGTTGACGTGGTCAAAAATAACCAGGGAGATGTATCCAACAGTGCAGCATGTCCTCGGTCTTCTGCAATCACATCGACAATACCGGATTCCAGCTTCATTCAATCACCAGCTACCACCGCTTCCAACGGTGACTTACCGCCCGGCCTTTTCAAGTTATCCGACTCATCCAATCTAAATGATATTGCTGAGTATGCTTCTGGAATCAAGCGCGAGGCAAGTTTTCATCACGTCTACCCTCGTAGCACTCAGCCTCCAATCGAGATGATGACTGCTGAGGAAAAGACCATGAAAGTGGCAGAGATCCAGGCAAGACCTTCTCGCAAGGCGTTGTTCAATTCAAACCAACGCCTAGCGCACGTTCGAAGGTACAGGCGGCTGGACATTCATGATGAAAGCGATGGAGCATGGAAGACTCAATCTTCGGAAGCAGAGGGGTACCCCGCAAAAAATGAAGCCGTCACAAGGGACCGTGATGAACCCCGGTCGCTACGTGAAGTCTTCAACCTCCCGGTCCATGCGGTGCCAATGATCGATGGGGTCGAGTTGGCTTTCCGGGATGGAACTTTAGTGAGTCAGCCAAAGCGTGACGCTTGTAGATCGATATGTTAATGAGCTAAACAGGTCAACGGTCAACTGCCACGACCACGCCATGTATACAGGGTGGGGAAGAGACTTGGAGCCGGACTTACCGTCAATTGATTTATCACATACACCAATGTCGGCCTCAGCGGAGGTTCTGGACTTTCTGTCTTGGCTCAGTTTACAACATTATACCCGATTGATTTCCAATCAAGTGATTTATCTTGGAGTAACAAAAACAAAAATAACAAGCTGCACAACATGTTGGTGGTGACGTGCACAACGTGTCGACTATTGAAACTATTGCCGAACTAAAAATGTCGGCTGAGAAGTGGACATGTGGACTGGTTCGTGATTTAAAGTTGGGTGGTGATGACAGGCCCTGGCGTGGCGCCATAACCCTACGCCTCCACCACAAGCGCTTCCACACAAGATGCTTCCAGACTGTGCGGGCAGCGGGTCCCACCTCCAAACAACGCCTCGCATTGGTGACACGGCAGTGCTAACGAGATAAGGTCTGCCCATATCTTGCCGCCCGCAGATCGTGGGGCTCACGGCGTGCAGATGTTTCTAAACCTGAAACCACATCCCTGTGGCTACGCGATGTGGTTTTAAGGCCCCAAAGCCAATCAATACGCGACTGCCGCACGTCGACCAGACCATGCCTAATCGTCTGGATGCTAGAACCCCACAGCAACCCTGTACAGTTGCCGACGCGACAATTTCGCTGCCAGCCTTGCCAGCTTGGAATTGGATGACTGGGTCGTTGTTGTTCTGCTGTTCCCGCCGGGGCTAGCGGGGAGCGTTTCACATCGGCCGGCAGCACAAGCGCAGTAATAGTCCTTGGGCTCATTTGAGCCACTCAAGCCTGAAGCACTCGAGCGTGAAGCCGTGCGAGCATCCAACGCCATACGCCCCCGCCTGTGCTATTGTAAGGTTCACGAGAACGGCCAGGCCAGGGCTAGCGGGTCAGTTTTGTCCTGAGGTTCCCTCCTTCACCTTGGGTTCTTTTCTCGCCTTTCACTCTTCATCTTTTCGGTCTCTATTGTTTGCCATTGTTGCTACTGTTAGAGGCCTGTTGCCTTGACGGCGTGGGAAATTCCCCCTCTAATTCACCTTCAACCTTGCCCTCTTTAAAACCAACACCCACTCTTTATCTATCTACCTTCCAACCATTGTCGCTAGACGCGCTTTTTCCCTCTGACTCAACCAACTGCTGGACAGATCCAATTGCTCCACAGCACCAACTTGAATCTTCCACCACCCACTACTCTTTCTCTATACATACACAAACGAAATGGCGCTTCTCTCAGCAGAACACCTGGCTGGGCCGGGCTACATCATTCTCAACGTCCTTCGTGGACTCAACATTATTGCTTTGGCTTCAGTCGTTGCCAGCAGTGTTGTCATGCTTGTCAAGACTTTTATCATTTCCAAGGTACGTGGCAGTGGTTTGATTTCAACAATTGTAAATAACTGACTCTCTTCAGTTCTTCTTCTTCGATGCCACGAGCCATGTCATTACCGCTTTTGCCGGGCTTTTCTTCATCGTATCAGAATGCTCGCTCTTCCGCGGTTTCTTCGCCCGCAACTGGCCTCTTCTGAGCCCCTCTCACGGCTTCGTCACCCTAGGCTGTGCCATGATGATCATCGGCATGAACCTCCTCGGCAACATGAACAAGGAGGCCACAAGCCAAAAGTCACTCACCATGCCCTTCTGGCGCCTTCTCGTCGCCTCGGGCGTCCTCTCCTTCGTCATCGGCCTCTTCAACATAATCGCCAGCTTCATCTTCCGCGATAGATCCCGCAACATCACCGCCCGCATGGTCCGCTCCCGCGGCGCCATGACGCTCCACGAAGACCTCGAAACCCAATCCCAATGGACCGGCTCAAACTACGAGTCCAAACTCAAACCCTTCACCCTCTCTTCCCACCAAACCGGCAGCACCTCGTCCCGCACCCCTCCCATGCGCATGCCCACTCCCCCCGTGGACTGCGGCTCGCCCCCACAACCCCAAACCAAAGACACCGACGCCCATCACCTCTCCCAATTCGACTTCAACCCCCTCCGCGCCCTCCGCACAGCCCGCCAATCCTTCCTTCCTTCCTACCACTCCCAGTCCTCCCCCGCCAAACTCAACGTCTTCTCCAACCGCCCAGCCTCCTCAATCTACTCGCGCACCACCTCCGGCGAACCCTCCCGCAAGCGCTTCTGGCAGCGGCAGCGCGAAGAGCAGGAACAGGAAACTGCCCGCATGCCTGAGATTAGCTATCCGCTTAATGTCAACCCGCAGTTTGCGCACCTCGTTAAGCCGAATCTTGCCCATCATCCTAGTGTCAGGCGCCCGGAGTTTGATTTTGATAGTAATAAGATTTGAGAAATGTCTCTTCTATCGTGTGTCGGCGTTGATGAGGGGCGTGAGGTGAAGGGGGGGGGAGAGAGTAAGTCAAGTGTGAGGGTTGTGGTGGAGGATGGATGGCGGAAATTATGATACCACTTTCTTTTGTTTCTTTGTTTCTTGTACTGATTTGCATTACACAAAATGCATTACTGCTACAGATTTAGATATACTAGCAGCGGGCGTTTCTACTTTTCGGCGATACAAATCCTGTCTCTCTCTTTCTCTCTCTGTCTCTCTTTTTTAAACATGGAAAAGAATGATTTTTTACTACGAGATTGTCAGGATGGGAGCTCCGGGGAGGTTTTATCATGTTAGATGATGGATGGCCCTGTTGAGCATACTGGTTTTCACCTTCTTCGATGAAAGGGAAATATGGACTACGATCATTTCACTGGTTGTTTATTGTTTGACTGCTTCTCTACTCTCGTTTAGGATAGCTGTTTTCTAATATACACGTGGTTATATAGATTGGAATGTCCAGTATTGTCCATGATGCAATTGCTATCAATGCGAAGTTTGTCGCTGTCGCTACATGACGCGGTGCATATATCTATATGTACATGTGTTATACAGTAAATCGGACGATTTATATTGGATTGACGGTTTTTCCACGTCAATGAACATTGTTCGAAGTCCTCGGCCCATTGGCACAGCACCGTGCGTTACTGAAACCCTCCCACCCTCGTACTTTCATACATGGATCCTCCGATCGTTCCAGATACGCTCTTCCGCCCCTCTTTTAACCAATTTCTACCCCTCACTCCTCCACCGCAATCTCCTGGAACGGATCGATCGCATTGCCCTGCGGATCATACAACTCGAACCTCGTGCCATCCTCCAGTGTCAAACTATACTCTTGCGTATAATATAACCCACCTCTTCCCTTTCGCCTGCACTTCAGGCGCACCTCGCCCGCCTGCTTCGTTCCCTTGACCCAGAAGCTTACATTAATGCGGCCATGGACCTGATTGATCTCGCCCTTGATCCATGGGTACTTTGACGCAAAATATATTTCGTCGCCGAGCTGCTCGCGCACGAGCGGGTTGGTGCGCAGCGCGTAGAGGGTTGCGGTCACGACGGAGGATTCTTGCTTCTGGTAGTTGAAGAAGGCAAAGAGGGAGACGGTCATTGCGATGATGAAGATTGGGAGGGTGCGCAGGACTTGCGGGGGTATTAGAGGTGGGACACTAATTAGCAATGTTGTTAGCATTCTAGCTCAAGCTTGCTCGTTTTTTTATGAGTTGTGAATCTTTCCCGACAGGTATGAAGACAAGGATTTGGGGTTCGACGTACGGCGGTAGGGCGCGATTTGGCCGTCGCTCAAGCAATATCTCGCCATCTTTAGGCGGGGGAATGAGGTTCTCGGGTGTCCAGACGCTCGTTGGGGTTTTCCAAGGGACGACAGGCTTAACGTCGTTTTGCTGTGGTGGTGTGGTGGACGCATGGCGGAGGGGCGCTATGCGACGGAGACATTGGTATCGTGCCTGAGGCCGCGCTCGCAACAAAGCTGGAGAGAGCCGTGGCGGTGGCATGGTGTGAGTTAATGTTGTGGCGGGGGCGCAATTGCACGGATGGAGGGTTGCGTGTATGAGATCAGTCGATGCTAGTTGTGATGTTTGCATAGTTTGCATGCCCGCGCTAGTACACCTGGTTGGCGATGGGACGGAGTTAAGCCGGGTAAACCCTGTCTTCGACTCTATCATATGTTAGGTGGATGTCTCTCCTACACTTTATCATGGAGTAATTTAGGTTCTATGCAGTTATCGTAGCTGTTCTCATTCGTAATTGACTAACACATGCATATTATTCCTTTTCTCATTCTGCTCATTTCTTCTCGAACGTTGAATATACATGCGATCGAAGACGTCGCAAGGTTGTGGATTTTGGATTAACGTGTTTTACAAGCGAGCGGGCCATACAAGCG